GTGGGAGAGGAGAGGGTGTTAGTTGTGGGTGGGAGTGAGGATTAGGGTGTTGGTTGTGGGTGGGAGAGGGATTTGGGTGTTGGTTGTGGGTGGGGGAGAGGGATTAGGGTGTTGGTTGTGGGTGGGGAGAGGGATTTGGGTGTTGGTTGTGGGTGGGGTGAGGGATTAGGGTGTTGGTTGTGGGTGGGGGGTGAGGGAGGGGTGTTGGTTGTGGGTGGGGGAGAGGGATTAGGGTGTTTGGTTGTGGGTGGGGGAGAGGATTTGGGGTGTTGGTTTGTGGGTGGGAGGAGAGGATTAGGTGTTGGTTGTGGGTGGGGAGAGGGATTAGGGTGTTGGTTGTGGGTGGGGTGAGGGATTAGGGTGTTGGTTGTGTGCAGGGAGAGGAATTAAGGTGGTGGTGGGTGGAGCAGAGCATGAGGATCCGGGTGGTTGTGTGCAGGGAGAGGAACTAAGGTGGTGGTGGGTGGAATGGGAAAGGAGGGGGAGAGGATGAGGGTGGTGGTTGTGTGCAGGGAGAGGAATTAAGGTTTTGGTGGGTGGAATGGGAAAGGATGGGGAGAGGATGAGGGTGGTGGTTGTTGGCAGTGTTAGGGATTAGGCTGGTAGTGGGCAGTAAACCTTGATGATGCCGATATGGAGACAAGGGGGTGGGCAGTATGGGGAGATTAGGGTGGTGGGCTGTAAACCTGTATGATGTCGATATGGAGACAAGGGTGTGGGCAGTATGGGGAGATTAGGGTGGTGGGCTGTAAACCTGTATGATGTCGATATGGAGACAAGGGGGTGGGGTGGGCAGTATGGGAGATTAGGGTGGTGGGCTGTAAACCTGGATGATGTCGATATGGAGACAAGGGGTGGGCAGTATGGGGGAGATTAGGATGGTGGGCTGTAAACCTGGATGATGTCGATATGGAGACAAGGGGTGGGGGTAGGGCAGTATGGGGAGATTAGGGTGGTGGGCTGTAAACCTGGATGATGTCGATATGGAGACAAGGGGTGGGCAGTATGGGGAGATTAGGGTGGTGGGCTGTAAACCTGGATGATGTCGATATGGAGACAAGGGGTGGGCAGTATGGGGAGATTAGGGTGGTGGGCTGTAAGCCTGTATGATGTCGAATATGGAGACAAGGGGTGGAGCAGTATGGGGGAGATTAGGGTGGTGGGCTGTAAACCTGTATGATGTCGATATGGGAGACAAGGGGTGGGCAGTATGCAGGGGATTGGGGTGGTGGGCTGTAAACCTGTATGATGTGTCGATATGGAGACAAGGGGTTGGGCAGTATGGGGAGATTAGGGTGGTGGGCAGTAAACCTGTATGATGTCGATATGGAGACAAGGGGTGGGCAGTATGGGAGATTAGGGTGGTGGGCTGTAAACCTGTATGATGTCGATATGGAGACAAGGGGTTGGGCAGTATGGGGAGATTAGGGTGGTGGGCTGTAAACCTGGATGATGTCGATATGGAGACAAGGGGTGGGGGTGGGCAGTATGGGGAGATTAGGGTGGTGGGCTGTAAACCTGGATGATGTCGATATGGAGACAAGGGGGTGGGGGTGGGCAGTATGGGGAGATTAGGCTGGTGGCAATGTTTCAGGATTATGGCCTTTAATACGTTTGTGATAACATTTCCACTGTTGTCATGTTGAATCTTGAAATAACTTAAGGGATGTGAACACAGTAAAGGGGACATGACCTTGTTAATCTGTCACGCTGTACCTGGACCACATCATTTTACATTCTGTGCAGCTATTTCTGCTATGGGAAAACCACATATGTCCAGATTTCCACAAGTTCAGGTTATAATCACCCCGCAGACTTGGGCTCCTTTTCAGTTTACATGGAATTGTTTGTTCTGTCAGAATTATATATTTTCAGACAGTAAGCGTTAGTCTGGGTTATTTGTACTGAAGGGATAGCATGGTGGTCCTATTCTGGTATTGTTTCTTGGGGCAAGTTTCTTTCAGGGTAGAATTTTGTCAGTGAAAAGATTCAGATATCGAGAAATTTGTTTATGCAGACGTAATTGATAAAACTCAAGTGTCTGCACAAACAAGGTTCGACTGTATTGAATATATATTTTGTCCTAACATGTCAAGCCTATTGGATATTTTGCAGCAATGAGTAGATGGTTATTAAAAATACTTCTGATTAAGATGCAGTTTCAGGTGACTTGTACAGGGATGGCAATTTTTTGCTGATCTGCAGATTTCCACTGATTTTTTTTCAAATTGGTCATTCCATTTGAACCCCCATTCGATGACACAATATTAAGTTTTCAGCTGAAACTAGATTTTCCTGTTGCCTTCCCTACTTGTAATTCTGTTCATTTTATGCAGAAATGTGTGGCATGTTTTTTAAACTGACATCTACATAACAAAAAGTGACGAGTAGCACGCCTTTCATGCATTATTCATTGTGATAAAGTTCATGTATTAATGATGCCTGCATTTTATTTGTAATGAAACACAGGAGAAACAAGTTGAAAAGGACATGTTGGATAATTGCCCAGTGTGGTTGTGATGTATTTGTGAAAAAGAGAAAAAATTGTGGATTGTTTAGGGACAGTGCAAAAAAGAAGGGTGACACATCGTCACCTTGTCATACTCCAGTATTACTATGGAAACATCTGTCGCATCACCCTTACGTTAAACAAGATTTAATCTTAGGATTTAGGTTATATGTCCAACAGATTTAATCTATTTGCAATGGTATTTGGGGGCGGTTGGGTAGCATAGTGGTTACAGCGTTTGCTCGTGACACCGAAGACCCGGGTTCAATTCCCCACATGGGTGCAATGTGTAAAGCTGGAATATTGCTAAAAGCGGCGTTAAACCAAAGTCACTCACTCACTCATTATCAAATTTATCTATTTGGGTCTTCATCAACATCAACAAGCACGCAGTAAATTTCTTTTCGATTTCTTGCAAATATCTGTCAGCATTATATATTTAACATATTGTTGAATAAGATAATGGGATTAAGATTCATGGTTGTGCCCAGCATACACCACCTGTGGCCGTATGCATATGTCGGGCATAAATTCTAGTCCTGGTGTAAGTAAAATGTGCGCCTGGACGTAACATTAAACTGGTATGCATATCTTAGACAAAGCTAAAGTTATGCCAGGCGCCACCTACCCAGCAGCTCGTATTCATACGCCACCTACCCAGCAGGCGTAGCCCTGTAATGGCAGAAGTCGTATACCGATATGGCAGACGATAGTTCTACAGAAACCATATATTACGAAGAGGGTCAACCCCTTTAGAAATATATGTAGACCTTGATCTGTACAGAAGATTTAGATTCAGGAGAATTGAAATTTTCAAGAAAGTGGATACCATCAGAGGTGATATTGATTATAGCTCCTTCCTCAATTCCACCTTTACTCCGGAAATGCAGGTACTTCTAACCTTACGGTTTTGTGCTACAGGATCATTTCAAAATGTAGTTGGGAAATTCTGTCAATGTTCACCAATCTACAGTTAGTCGAACAATTCGCATAGTTTCATTGTCTCTTCAGCGGCGAATGAATCAGTGGATCTACTCTCCAGACCAATATGAACTCGTAGCACTGAAAGCCCAACATGGCCGGGTTTCCAGGTGTAGTAAGATGTTACGCGAAGTTGTTTCGCGCCTTTTCCCCGTGGTTTAAAAGCTTTCGAAAATGTAAAAGTAGCACACTGCGCCTGGACGTAAATCCGTTAAGTCGGGGCGTAGTAAAGCCTTGGCTTAACAACGTTGTACATGACGTGTAAGAGCATGTTAGCTACACCCGGCATGTGCATACCGCCACTGGTGTAGACTAACATGTACACTCTATGATGAACATAAAATTGATAGTGTACTCCGGTACAGTGGCACATGTATAGTCACTTGCCCTGATAATGTTTCCACTATACCGACCGTTTTCTTGCTGATTTTCTAAATAAACAACATAATTAACGTTGGAAAGTCAACTGGACACCGGTACAGTGTGATATACAAATTTGACTTGCCACACTTTCTATACTTAACCATGTTAACTTCTTGAGAGGCATTTAGAACAAGCAGTAAGGAAGGAAACAACATATGGAGGAATGTCTTCTTTATTAGAGTGAGAGCAACACTTGGTTGTAGGTTCTAACAACGTCATCAAGCAAGTGATATTGTAACCCTTCCTTATTGTAGACTTGGATGGGCTTTCTTTGACATATTTGTTTCAGGTTCTGTATGACAGACTACACCTGCTGCTATAAATTCTGAATTTAGTCAAATATTTATATCTCTAGTTTCGACTTTTAATGATGAAATAACCATATTAGCATAACAAGGTGGTAGTTTTAGTGTTAAGAAATGTAGTGTATTACCATCAACATAGACCCGTGAAGATCCGGGGTAGAATAGGTCTTCAGCAACCCATGCTTGCCACAAAATTGTCTGGATTGTCTGGTCCAGACTCGATTAATTACATACCGCCGCCATATGGCTGGAATATTGCTGAGTGTGGCGTAAAACTAAGCTCACTCACTCACCATCAACATACTCTGTGAACATCAGGATTAGAACTGGTCTTCAGCAGCCAATCTTGTAATAAGAGGAACTGACAGGATAGAGTAATCAGGCTTGCTGCCTGGATTGATGTTTTTCATCATTTAATAGTTTGATGCTCATGATGTCAACCTCTGGTTTGTCTGGGATGCTCATGATATCAACCTCTGGTTTGTCTGACATGCTCATGATGTCACACTGGTTTGTCTGGCATGCTCATGATGTCAACCACTGGTTTGTCTGACATGCTGGCATGCTCATGATGTCAACCGCTGGTTGGTCTGGCATGCTCATGAGGTCAACCACTGGTTTGTCAGGCATGCTCATGATGTCAACCTCTGGTTTGTCTGGCTTCATTATTTACAGACTCTTATACAGGGAATAATGATGGGTACAACATTAAATAATGAACAAGCACACAAGACTCTTGGTATCAATGACATAATAACTAATAATTCTCGATTTCTTTCCAGGTTTTTGATGTTGTTTTAAATGGCGAGCACACCATCGTGAGCGAGCTGGACATATACAGTCGAGTGGGCCGAGGCGTTGCACATGATGAGATCGTTCCATTCTCTGTCAAAGGGGGCAAACTACGTGTTAACGGGGAGACGTCGCAGATTGATGGAAAGTTAACAGTTGAGTTTATCAAGGTGAGTTATCACACTGAAGTCTCTTTGAGAAAGGTATCCCAGTTAAAGGATGAATGCTATGTGTTTGAGGTTGTCTGATTGACTATATTTTTCTGTTTGGATAAGGGGCCAGTAGCTTAGCCTAGTGGTTAAAACATCTGCTCGTCACGCCAAAGATTTGGGTTGAATTTCCCACATGGATGCAATGTATGAACTTCTATTGAGCCCATTTCTGGTGTTTCCCAAAGTGATATTGCTGGAATAACAGAGATGCCAACCACTCTGATTCTGGCAGAGTAACTCTGATTTTCAAATTCAAAATCTCCAATTTGTCTTTAAAAAACCCTGATTTTTTTATGGCATACAATTTCATAAGTCACCAATGATTTATTTGAGTCAACACTGGTAAAAGCATTCAGAAGCTTAGCGTGTGATGTTTTGGATCTTGATTGTGCATAATGCGTGTTATTGACGGCGAAGTTTCACCAAGTTTTTCCGAATGCATGTCATAGCCTGTATGTAAGTGAAACAACCACGTGCTCACCCCTAACTCATAGAATTGGTGCTCGGGCCTTTCTCCAGCCAGTCATGACTCGCTTTCATTAGATTCAAGGTTGGCGTCTCTGGAATAATACTAATAGTGGCATTAGGCCTTACAAACTTGCTCACTCACTTTTTTTGTAACTGGTGACCAAATTTCTTTCTCGTTTGTATATAATAATCTTTTGTCTATTCAGGCCTGTTTTGGTCATCTTGTATGTTGAAGGAGGAACTAGCTCACAATGGAGTCAAATCATGTTTATTGTTATAAAATAAATGAATACAATTACAATCAGAAATAAATCCAGTTGCAATTCCAACTCTGCTACGATAAGTGAAGTCCATCAACCAGGTATCCTACTCGTAGCTGTAAAGCCGTGAAGCCGTAATATCTAAATGACGGTAGAGATGTAAACATACATACATGTATTGGGATATACAACCATGGACAGGTATCGGTACAATGACCTGTACACAACTCGATAATCCTCGATAATCTCCAAGGTATACATTCCGATAAATCTCCACTATACCCTGGATGCATCTACGGCTCGGCCTGATAATTTTATTACCTTCCTTGGCTAGCTTTTTTCCAATCAGGTGTCTACGCTGGGAAGCTGAGCGTACCAATCACAAGACTTCACTTCCGCTTTTTTATCTAACCGATTAAACTTGACAACACAGTTGTTGCAGAGGTACTCTGAAAGAGGTAGAAGGAGTTCTTGCATATATTTTTTGAAGGTTTCAGACCTATTAGTTTGTGTTAATAATTTTCCCCATCTTCCGAGTCGCACAGTGAGAAAACCTTTTCGGCTGCAGCTGCGGCCACTATCTTTTTTGCAAACAGGCAAGCTTGGTTGTAACTGTTTATCTGACTGTCTACTGTGAGAATGCAAAGCCAGCAAAGTGAGGTAATAAAATTATCAGGCCGAGCTGGAGATGCATCCAGGTACTAGTGGAGATTTATCGGAACGTATACCCTGGAGATTATCGAAGATGAACTTGACATGGAACACCTAGAGGTGATGACAGACAAGTTAAGGCTAAATACGTCATAGTATGAATTGTTGGGGCACAATTGATTGCTTGTGCTCATGGATTGCAGCATGTGTAATAATGGTAGTCTAGATTTCCTGAATGATGTGTAACTTAACACTAAAAACTAAAAAGCTGTGATTCATAAAATATAATATTGTCAAAACAACACTATTAGGTCACTCATTGACATTACTGAAGGAGCTTGTTTCTCTATCCAGTCATGTGTGCTCTGAAGCCGAGAAGTCAAAGGCTAAAGATTATGTATATGTCAGGGTAGAGACTGCGATCTGGTAGAATCGGAGATTCTACCAGTAGAGATTGCGATCGGAGTCTCTACCAGTAGAGACTGCGATCGAGTCTCTACTGGTAGAATCTCCGATCCTACTAGTAGAGATTGCGATCGTAGTCTTTACTGGTTGAATCGGAGATTCTACCAGTACATTTTCCAATTCAACTGGTAGAAACTCCAATCCTACTAGTAGAGGCTGCAATCGTCTTCAACTGGTAGAAACTCCGCGTGATCTGTGGGTAAACAACAAAGACACTTTTTCTGAACAGTACTATGCATTTTATTCAGATATAACACTAGAAAAACCAAAAACAAAATACCTTACTCCAAAACAGACTTAACAAATAAAGTTAACAAGATATTATAACAATAAATAAGTTCAATTATAACTGGCAAATAATAGGAAAACATTATCCCCACTTATTATACTTGCTTGCATAAGCTTGCACTTGCTTGCACAGGTTATTCCATATAATCGTAGTCTCTACCAGTAGAGACTACGATTGCAATCTCTACTAGTAGGATCGGAGATTCTACCAGTAGAGACTCGACGCATAGGTTATTCCATATAATAAGTTCTACTTCAGGAGACTAGAGTCTCTACCAGTAGAGACTCGATCGCAATCTCTACTGGTAGAATCTCCGATTCTACCAGATCGCAGTCTCTACCCTGACATATATATATTTATTTGAATGTATTTGTTTTTCCACGGTTTGCATCCATTATAGGGGTGGTGGGGTAGCCTTGTGGTTAAAGCTTCCGCTCATCATGCCAAAGACCTGGGTTCGATTCCCCTCATGGGTTCAAAGTGCGAAACCCATTTCTGATGTCCCCCGCCATAATATTGCTGGAATATTGCTAAAAGTGTTGTAAAACTAAACTCATTCACTCACTCACTCATCCATTATATATTACCTCAGTGATAATTTAATCAGAAAAAGCTAAGTTTTCATGTTTTCCTTCAGGGAGATTATGACAACCCCAAAGTGAATGCTATCTATGTGATGAAAGGAACTTTAGATGGTAAGTGTAGTTTTTGTAATGTTCTTTTGTATTTGCACATTCAAGGAGAATACACATTTAAGTCACTGATATTTACAGTGCAAGACGTTTTGGTGTAGATTGTTATCCCGAAGAATCTGCATATTGCTTCAATAAACAAGAAGGTAATAGTTTGATCACAGTGTAAGAATCTACTCCGAAACATCACTCTATGCAATAAACTGATCACAGTGTAAGAATCTACACCGACACATCACTGTATGCAATAAACTGATCACAGTGTAAGAATCTACACCGACACATCACTGTATGCAATAAACTGATCACAGTGTAAGAATCTACACCGACACATCACTGTATGCAATAAACTGATCACAGTGTAAGAATCTACACCGACACATCACTGTATGCAATAAACTGATCACAGTGTAAGAATCTACACCGACACATCACTGTATGCAATAAACTGATCACAGTGTAAGAATCTACACCGACACATCACTCTATGCAATAAACTGATCACAGTGTAAGAATCTACACCGACACATCACTCTATGCAATAAACTGATCACAGTGTAAGAATCTACACCGACACATCACTGTATGCAATAAACTGATCACAGTGTAAGAATCTACACCGACACATCACTGTATGCAATAAACTGATCACAGTGTAAGAATCTACACCGACACATCACTCTATGCAATAAACTGATCACAGTGTAAGAATCTACACCGACACATCACTCTATGCAATAAACTGATCACAGTGTAAGAATCTACACCGACACATCACTGTATGCAATAAACTGATCACAGTGTAAGAATCTACACCGACACATCACTGTATGCAATAAACTGATCACAGTGTAAGAATCTACACCGAAACATCACTCTATGCAATAAACTGATCACAGTGTAAGAATCTACACCGACACATCACTGTATGCAATAAACTGATCACAGTGTAAGAATCTACACCGACACATCACTGTATGCAATAAACTGATCACAGTGTAAGAATCTACACCGACACATCACTGTATGCAATAAACTGATCACAGTGTAAGAATCTACACCGACACATCACTGTATGCAATAAACTGATCACAGTGTAAGAATCTACACCGACACATCACTGTATGCAATAAACTGATCACAGTGTAAGAATCTACACCGACACATCACTGTATGCAATAAACTGATCACAGTGTAAGAATCTACACCGACACATCACTGTATGCAATAAACTGATCACAGTGTAAGAATCTACACCGACACATCACTGTATGCAATAAACTGATCACAGTGTAAGAATCTACACCGACACATCACTGTATGCAATAAACTGATCACAGTGTAAGAATCTACACCGAAACATCACTCTATGCAATAAACTGATCACAGTGTAAGAATCTACACCGACACATCACTGTATGCAATAAACTGATCACAGTGTAAGAATCTACACCGACACATCACTGTATGCAATAAACTGATCACAGTGTAAGAATCTACACCGACACATCACTGTATGCAATAAACTGATCACAGTGTAAGAATCTACACCGAAACATCACTGTATGCAATAAACTGATCACAGTGTAAGAATCTACACCGACACATCACTCTATGCAATAAACTGATCACAGTGTAAGAATCTACACGACACATCACTGTATGCAATAAACTGATCACAGTGTAAGAATCTACACCGACACATCACTGTATGCAATAAACTGATCACAGTGTAAGAATCTACACCGACACATCACTGTATGCAATAAACTGATCACAGTGTAAGAATCTACACCGACACATCACTGTATGCAATAAACTGATCACAGTGTAAGAATCTACACCGACACATCACTGTATGCAATAAACTGATCACAGTGTAAGAATCTACACCGACACATCACTCTATGCAATAAACTGATCACAGTGTAAGAATCTACACCGAAACATCACTGTATGCAATAAACTGATCACAGTGTAAGAATCTACACCGACACATCACTGTATGCAATAAACTGATCACAGTGTAAGAATCTACACCGACACATCACTGTATGCAATAAACTGATCACAGTGTAAGAATCTACAATCGACACATCACTGTATGCAATAAACTGATCACAGTGTAAGAATCTACACCGACACATCACTGTATGCAATAAACTGATCACAGTGTAAGAATCTACACCGACACATCACTGTATGCAATAAACTGATCACAGTGTAAGAATCTACACCGACACATCACTCTATGCAATAAACTGATCACAGTGTAAGAATCTACACCCGACACATCACTGTATGCAATAAACTGATCACAGTGTAAGAATCTACACCGACACATCACTGTATGCAATAAACTGATCACAGTGTAAGAATCTACACCGAAACATCACTGTATGCAATAAACTGATCACAGTGTAAGAATCTACACCGACACATCACTGTATGCAATAAACTGATCACAGTGTAAGAATCTACACCGAAACATCACTGTATGCAATAAACTGATCACAGTGTAAGAATCTCACACCGACAAACATCACTGTATGCAATAAACTGATCACAGTGTAAGAATCTACACCGACACATCACTGTATGCAATAAACTGATCACAGTGTAAGAATCTACACCGACATCACTGTATGCAATAAACTGATCACAGTGTAAGAATCTACACCGAAACATCACTGTATGCAATAAACTGATCACAGTGTAAGAATCTACACCGACACATCACTCTATGCAATAAACTGATCACAGTGTAAGAATCTACACCGACACATCACTGTATGCAATAAACTGATCACAGTGTAAGAATCTACACCGACACATCACTGTATGCAATAAACTGATCACAGTGTAAGAATCTACACCGACACATCACTCTATGCAATAAACTGATCACAGTGTAAGAATCTACACCGACACATCACTGTATGCAATAAACTGATCACAGTGTAAGAATCTACACCGAAACATCACTGTATGCAATAAACTGATCACAGTGTAAGAATCTACACCGACACATCACTGTATGCAATAAACTGATCACAGTGTAAGAATCTACACCGACACATCACTGTATGCAATAAACTGATCACAGTGTAAGAATCTACACCGACACATCACTGTATGCAATAAACTGATCACAGTGTAAGAATCTACACCTAACACATCACTCTATGCAATAAACTGATCACAGTGTAAGAATCTACACCGACACATCACTGTATGCAATAAACTGATCACAGTGTAAGAATCTACACCGACACATCACTCTATGCAATAAACTGATCACAGTGTAAGAATCTACACCGAAACATCACTGTATGCAATAAACTGATCACAGTGTAAGAATCTACACCACATGTACATCACTGATATGCAATAAACTGATCACAGTGTAAGAATCTACACCGAAACATCACTGTATGCAATAAACTGATCACAGTGTAAGAATCTACACCGACACATCACTCTATGCAATAAACTGATCACAGTGTAAGAATCTACACCGACACATCACTGTATGCAATAAACTGATCACAGTGTAAGAATCTACACCGACACATCACTGTATGCAATAAACTGATCACAGTGTAAGAATCTACACCGACACATCACTGTATGCAATAAACTGATCACAGTGTAAGAATCTACACCGACACATCACTGTATGCAATAAACTGATCACAGTGTAAGAATCTACACCGACACATCACTCTATGCAATAAACTGATCACAGTGTAAGAATCTACACCGACACATCACTGTATGCAATAAACTGATCACAGTGTAAGAATCTACACCGACACATCACTGTATGCAATAAACTGATCACAGTGTAAGAATCTACACCGACACATCACTGTATGCAATAAACTGATCACAGTGTAAGAATCTACACCGACACATCACTGTATGCAATAAACTGATCACAGTGTAAGAATCTACACCGACACATCACTGTATGCAATAAACTGATCACAGTGTAAGAATCTACACGAAACATCACTGTATGCAATAAACTGATCACAGTGTAAGAATCTACACCGACACATCACTCTATGCAATAAACTGATCACAGTGTAAGAATCTACACCGACACATCACTGTATGCAATAAACTGATCACAGTGTAAGAATCTACACCGACACATCACTGTATGCAATAAACTGATCACAGTGTAAGAATCTACACCGACACATCACTGTATGCAATAAACTGATCACAGTGTAAGAATCTACAATCAAACATCACTGTATGCAATAAACTGATCACAGTGTAAGAATCTACACCGACACATCACTCTATGCAATAAACTGATCACAGTGTAAGAATCTACACCGACACATCACTCTATGCAATAAACTGATCACAGTGTAAGAATCTACACCGACACATCACTGTATGCAGTAAACAAGAAATTGTTATCCATAAAGTTGTACATTTCATTATTGACTGCCAAATGCCAATCAAACAATTATGTCCAGGTAGTCTTTAAATTAGGGACCCGTGAAGATAGAGTAGGTCTTCAGCAACCCATGCTTGCTACAAAAGACGACTATGCTTGTCGTAAGAGGCGACTAACGGGATCGGGTGGTCAGGCTTGCTGACTTGGTTGACACATGTCATTGGTTCCCAATTACGCAGATCAATGCTCATGCTGTTGATCACTGGATTGTCTGGTCCAGACTCGATTATTTACAGACCACCGCCATATAGCTGGAATATTGCTGTGTGTGGCGTAAAATTAAACTCACTCACTTTAAGTAAGGGGGTGGTGGGATAGCCTAGTGGTAAAAGTGTTTGCTGATCACGCCAAAGACCTGGGTCGGATTCCCCACATTGGTACAATGTTTGAAGCATATATTGCTGTGATATTGCTGGAATATTGCTAAAAGCGGTGTTAAACCACTTTTAATAAGAATACATACATATTAACTGAGTCACTACATGGCGGAAACATAACTGATGTGACACTAAATTTAACCTCACATAGTAACTCTGCTGTGCACTCTTCAGATGTACCAAAGTTACCTGCCCTTCCTGGTGACTCTTCAAGGGAAGAGGTGGAGGAGGAAGAAGAGGAGGAAGTGGTGCCAGGAAAAACCCCAAAGTCTCGTCGCCCTTCAGGACCAAAAGTCAAAGACCCGTATGCAGCAGACGACACTAGTACCATGTTATTACCTGTCTTTGTCGCGATAGGAGCCTTCATTCCACTGCTATTTTGTTTATGTAAATTGTAGAAATAAATGTTGATTTATTTTGGAGATCAAGCCAAGACTAAGTTGTGCATACTGCCAGAAAAAAAAGCCCAGTCCCTGGCCAAATCTGCAACAGGAGAAACCTCTGTGAGTCTGTATGTCCAAATTCAGTTTTACGTAAAACGATTCTTGAGCTAATGTTAATATCTTACACTTACTTCCATATTTAGTTTCATTATGAAACAGCCCCTGGAGTACTTAAGAAAATGGGTAAAACATATTGTCAAAATCTAATACATCTAAGGAAAAAATGAGTGAAAAATATTGTAAAAACATTAATACACCGAAGAAAAAGGGTGAAAAATAATGCCAAAATGTTAATACACCGTTACCATGGTTACAAGAGATTTCCAGATCTGACCAGGGACTGGGTATAAGTGTGTCCACCAGTGCATATATATGTCATCAGGGATTATGTTATTGTCAGTGGATTTATTTATGGTTCATCTTGTTTGAGGTATTTGTGAAAGAACATGTTGCTCAGTGCTTCTGGTACTGACTTGGAATCCATTCAGTGGAATAAATGGTGCAGTTCAGACATAGTCAGTCAACAGGATATCATTATTTCAGTGATTCCATCCAGGAATAGACGTAGAAATAGTTCTTTACCTGTGAGTAATATGGCATAGATTAGGTGTCAGAAGATATCCTGTATCTTGTACTTGTGCTAGAAGATTAGTGTTAAGTTATTTGAAGGTTAGTAGACTAGAGTGAAGGTAATTGAAGGCTAGTAGACTAGTGTGAAGGTATATGAAGGCTAGTAGACTAGAGTGAAGGTATATGAAGGCTAGTAGACTAGTGTGAAGGTATATGAAGGCTAGTAGACTAGTGTGAAGGTGTCTGAAGGCGAGAAGACCAGTGTGAAAGTATATGAAGGCTAGTAGACTATAGTCCGTTTGGCTCAAAAGCGAACCGATGAATTGCAATCTAACTCGAAAACTAATAAACAGAAAATACTCCATGAAACACTGATCATAATCAAAACGTCAGACCAACTCTTTGAGTTTTTTTGCAGAATTTATGTCCTAAAAATAATGAAGTTGTTTAACAAATCTATCATTAAAATATTGACACAATTCACTATTTGTTACGAGGGAGGAGTGCAGAGAAAGGGACAGCCAGGTGTTCGAGAAAGGATGGAGACAGCACAGCACAGGTTAATGAATCAATAACTTTGTCGGTACTTGTGCACGTGCTACTCTAACACCTGGCTGTCCCTTTCTCTGCACTCCTCCCTCGTAACAAATAGTGAACTGTCAATATTTTAATGATAGTTTGTTAAACAACTTTTGTAATTTTAGGACATAAATTCTGAAAACAAATCAGAGAGTTGGTCTGATGTTTTGATTATGATCAGCGTTTCATTGAGTATCATATGTTTATTAGTTTTCGAGTTAGATTGCAATTCATCGGTCCGCTTTTGAGCCAAATGCACTATAGTGTGAAGGTATATGAAGGTTAGAAGAGTAGAGTGAATGTGTCTGAAGGCTAGTAGACTTAGTGTGAAGTTGTATGAAGGCTAGTAGACCAATGTGAAGGTATCTGAGGGCTAGTAGACTAGTGTGAAGGTGTATGAAGGCTAGTAGACTAGTGCAGAGGCATGTTGATGGCTAGTATTGTAGTTTCAAACTGACTTAGTAGACTTGCGTGAAAGATACCTGAAGACCGACTAGAGCACCTGTATTAAGGTATCCTGCATCAAGGCTATCCTGAAGGTGTGTAGACAAGTTCTGAGGCTAGTTTCATGCTGACCCTGTAGACGTGGCTGAAGATATCCTGATATGAATCCACTTGGTGTAAAGATATCCAGAAAGCTTGTAGACGTGTGTGTGAAGGTGCTCAGAGGCCTAATATCTTCATCATGGTATCCTGTGGTTAAACTGGCATATCACTGGAAACATGCCTTGTTTTCCAGCCTCGATATGGCTGAAATATTGCCGATGTGATGATAAATTTTAACACACTCCCTCCAGCCTCGGATTTCGAGCCCACATAATAAAGCCCTATTGCACCTAACCCCTTCTCACCACCCCTCCCCCATTATGCACTTGGAATATTGCTAAAAGAAATCTGAAAGCTAACTCATTCACGTTACAGACTGCATTCAGGGATTATGGAGAAATAAGGGTTAAACTATACACAGAAACTCAGACAAAGCATGATACATGGCCCTCATAGCATACATCCTATCTATGTACCTGTATCGCAATTTATAATCACAATATACACATGTTCCATTGTGCTATGTTGACCGAACCGCTGCTGGGTCGCAGGTATATATGGTCCTAGAGCTGCCTTTACCACACCTGGGGAGGTGGGGTAACCTTGTGGTTAAAGTATTTGCTTGTCATGCCGAAGACCCAGGTTCGATTCCCCACATGGGTACAATGTGTGAAGCCTATATCTGGTGTACCCTGCCGTGATATTGCTGGAATATTGCTAAAAGGTGCATAAAACCATACTCACATGTCTAGAAGATAATGGTGGAGGTTTACTTTGAAAGTTAGGAACATGTCAGTATTGTTTGTGTTGGAGATCAGAAACCAGATATGCTGGAATGCATTGTTTGAAACCATGACCATTTTGGTAAATTAGAAAGATTACCTGACTCCGACCAACACTCAGAAAGGATCAAATTATGAGCCTAAGATGTGATTTTACTGAGATTGTGTAATAATATTGAATTGTTTTAAAGAATTCCACATTTTTCAATAAATCTAGTTAATTTATTTTGACTAACTACAGTCACATGAAAATGAAAAGTTAATCTTTACGTTCGTTGGAGTAGTTTTATTTACTTCATAACTGTGCACGTCTGAGTAGCAAGGATGGCAACTGTATCCTATATGAAATCTGTCATACGTTTCATTCCATCGATATGCAAGCTGTGAATGTTTGACTCATTGATTAAAACTGCAGTAATTTGAGACAGCTGTATGACATAGGACAAAACTCAATATGATTTGAACGTTGGTTTTTTGCCAACTTGTACTTATGTGCATCTAGGAAGAGAACTGCTCAGAAGAATTTACGGAGAATGCAATTCTTTCATATTACTGTAGCAAGTCTGTCATGGCCTAGGGGTGGTGGGTAGCCTGGTGGTTAAAGTGTTTGCTTATCACACCAAAGACCTGGGTTCGATTGCATTCAGGGATTATGGAGAAATAAGGGTTAAACTATACACAGAAACTCAGACGAAGCATGATACATGGCACCCAGAGGATACATCCTATCTATGTACCTGTATTGCAATATATGCACCTGTATCGCAATTTATATCACAATATACACATGTTCCATTGTGCTATGTTGACCGAACCGCTGCTTTGTCGCAGGTATATATGGTCCTACAGCTGCCTTTACCACACCTGGGGAGGTGGGGTAGCCTTGTGGTTAAAGTGTTTGCTTGTCACGCCGAAGACCCAGGTTCGATTCCCCACATGGGTACAATGTGTGAAGCCTATTTCTGGTGTCCCCAGCTGTGATATTGCTGGAATATTGCTATATTGAGTGGTATAGAGTGAGGATTGGTTGGACGTAATGTGTCATTGCAGACTGTGTCCTCATTCCTCTGATTAGGTTTCGGTGAAGGTAACTTTTGGTTCCAGTGTTAAAACAATCCAGCAGTGGTGGTCCAAATTGCATCAGGTCCAAGCTGAGGATAGGTAGCATTTGGATCCATGTTGAAATCATCCACCACAGTTTCACAGGGCTCCAGATAAGGGCCGTATCAGCGTATGTACGGATACGAATTATGCAAGATATGGAAGGAAATATTTAGGAAACGTAGCAGATACGCACCACAGCAATGTTGTATGGTCTTAGAATCATTTACAGACATATTTATCTGAAAAAGTTCTGTTTTACGGTTTATTGACCTGTTTACACAAGAGTAGCAATGTTGTGGTGCATATATGAAACGAAACACAAGACTACTGATACGCCATTAAATTCCATTCAGTACTGTAAGTTTACTCTTAAGTGTTTCCAGTACTCCTATATAAAAAAAATAAAGAGTATGTACTCCTGATGTTGACAGATTATCTGGTGCCCTGGTTTCAGGCTGCAGATTGGTAGCTACATGATAGGTTTTGAATGTTTCTCGTATAACTGCAATGATTCTGGTTACAGCACTTAATGTACTGACAGTGGAAGAGTTGCAGTTCACTCAAGTTGTCTCCCTTTGCCCTGCAATGATTCGCACTCTCGATTCAGAATTTTGATTCTGCCACACAAGTACCATTCTCTTCCCACAGAGGATACTAGTCTTCCGACGAACCTCTGTTCTAATACGGCCCTTTCATGGTGCGAGTGTTCAGGATTGGTGATTGGTTGCAATCAGATTTAGCTGTACAATCAGCGACGTTGTTTCAAAAGTGATCATTCGCAAGGCCTCGGTAATTTCCGTATGATTCGAGAAAACTAAACCTCTTCCCCTGCGCGATGCTCAAACGTTTCTTCTAGACAGAACTCAGTCATGTTATGGCGGATCAGTGGCGTCTCCATCGCCCTCGTTGACAACGGACAAGCTAGCAATTAAACATCTTGTGTGTAACATCAACACAAGTCCCCGGCAGATGGGGGATATTTGTGGCCCCACATTTGCTTGTGTTAGTCAAGTTGAATCTAAGTCGATGTAACACGTGTTCTGATTGGATAGAAAGAAGGGAGATAATTCGTGTTGCGATCTTTTGCCGATAGGGGATTTTACGAGAACCGGGAAATATGGCCGTATTAGAACAGAGGTTCGTAGGAAGATATGACAAGTAACCTCTGTGGGAAGAGAATGCACAAGTACATGTTTCATAAATGTCACTGAGAATGTCAAATTCTATGTGTAGATCGTTTGACAGCTTCAATTGCTGTGGAAGGAAGCAAGGTGATGAAACAGCTTTTTAGGCAAAGGGGATAATGTTTGTCAAAACCAAAACTTGTCTTTCCTGATATTTGTCTCTCCAAAGATATCACCAAGCCTTGAGGCAGTTCAATCATCGGTCTCCACAATGGCCACA